GGGGGGGCAGCAGTCCTCTGCCTTCCTGAGGGTCGCAGCCCCCCTCTTCCCCCGACATGATGTGCCAGTTGTGGGGACACCCTGGGGAAAGCCATGGGGAGGGGGCAGCCCCCCTGGGGCTTTCGGGGGGTTCTTTGCCCACCCCAGGCTGAGCTCGGCACCCCCCTCCCTGCCCTGATCCCCGTTTTGGGGGGTCTGAGTGTCACCCCTCCCTGAGGGGTCTGTGGGGGGCGAGGGACCCCCTTCACAGGGTGAGGGGGCTGACTGTGTGCAGGGGGGCCCCTGCACCCCCATTTTGCACCGTGCCTCAGTTTCCCCATTGATGTGACAGGGAAATCGGGAAAGGGGGGTGAATCCCACAGGCACCCACCGAGCCCCACAGCACCCAGATAAATCTGGGTCACCTGCAGCAGACAGACACCCTCCATGGGGACAAAACCCTCCTCTCTGTGCCCCCAGGGGGGCTTCACACCCACCTCTGCCCCTGCCAAGGTGACCCCAGCCCTTAGCATCCAGCTGGGGGGGCAGCAGCACGCCCGTGGGAGGTGGGACCCCCAAAACCCCCATGGCCACTGCGGGGAGACACCCCCTGTGGGGACAAATCCCCCCTGTCTGTGCCCCACAGGGTGCTCACCCCCCCCTTTTCCCCTGTCCAGAGGACCCCAGCCCACAATACCCAGCTGGGGGGCAACGGGGTGCATGGGGGGGAGGGACCCCCAAAATCCCCATGGCTGTGCAGGGAGGGGAGCCCTTGGCAGCACCCAGATAAGGCCACGGTCTGTTATCGGGGCACCCAGACCCAGCACCACCCACCACCCCACAGTGGGTGCCACTGGGTCCCAAAAACGTGAGACTGACCCCCTGCCTGGATGGGCTCCCCAAATCGGGCTGGCACAGGGGGGACAGCACTGGTGTGACCCCACAGCCGGAGGGACCTTGTGGGGGACCCCATGAGTGTCTCCAGGCACTGGGGGGCTGCTGAGGGACTGTGTGTGTGTGTGTGTGTGTGTGTGTGTGTGTGTGTGTGTGTGTGTGTGTGTGTGTGTGTGTGTGTGCAAGGCTCACTCCTCCTTGCCCCTGGGATTTGGGTTTGGGATTTGGGCCCAGGACCCCTTTGGAAAGGCTGTGAATATAAAGACACAGGCATGTACATAGATGTGCATGCACACACACACGTGTGCAAATACACATGTGCAAATACATGTTTGTCCTCAGAGGGATGGATGTACATGTGGACATGCACACACGTGGATGTGCAGACATGGATGTGCCCTCACACACACACATATGTGCTCATGGATGTGCCCTCACACACACACACATATGTGCTCATGGATGTGCCCTCACACACACACATATGTGCTCATGGATGTGCCCTCACACACACACACACACACACGTGTGTTCATGGATGTGCCCTCACACACACACACATGTGCTCATGGATGTGCCCTCACACACACACACGTGTGCTCATGGATGTGCACTAACACACGTGCCCACACACACACACACACACACACACACACACACACGCTCAGCCCTTCCTATTCCACCCCCTCTCCAGGACACCCCAATGACACCAATCCCACAGGACAGACGGACACCCCGCCACATCCCCCATCCCTGTGTCCCCCCCCTGCGCCTCCTCCCTGGGGAACCTCCCCGGGAACCCCCTTTTTTTTTAGAAAGAGAGAACACCCCAACCCCGTGGGAAGGGGGGACAGCCGGGGGGATCCCGGGGATTCCCCGCAGGGAAACCCGGAGGTAAACAAGATATGGGGGGGCAGCGGGAGCAGGGCCGGTGGTGCCGGGCAGGCAGGGGGACGGGGGGGCAGCGGGGCACAGGCGGGGCACAGCCTCGTGCCTCAAGATGTTGCACCCCGATAACCTTGTTTACGGGGGGCCCCGGGGGGGCCGGGTGAGCCCGAGGGGGGTGAGATTAGGGAGGTGAGAGCGTGACTCAGGGCATTGGTGTCTCGCAGCCCGGGCAGCCGCAGGCAGAGCGCGGGCAGGGGCGTCCGGAGGCACCCCAGGGGTAGGTGCGGGGTCACCTCGGGGTGTCTCTGGGGTGGGAGTGGGGGGACGGGGTGGGCGGGGGGATGGTGGGGCCAGGCAGGGCTGGGAGGGCACCCTGGGGTGCCCTTGGTGTGGGATGGGGGGTGGAGGGTTGTCAGCGAGGGGGTGCTGGGGTGGGAGGTGCTGTGGGATGGGGGATATGGGCTCCCTATGGAGGCACGGGGGGAGGGCCCCCATCCATACTGTGTACATACCTTGGGATACGTGGGCTCCATACGGAACCAGGAGAGGGATCCCAGCCATGCTGTGTGGATGGCATGGGATGTATGGGCTCCATGTGGAGCCATGGGGGTACCTGTGGCGGGACAGACCCCAGCCACACTGTGAGGATGGCATGGGATGTATGGGCTCCATACTGAGCCACATCAGGTACCCGCTGGATGAGGGATTGCAGCCACATTTGTGTGGATGGCATGGGATGTATGGTTTCCATACCATATGGAGCCACAGGGATTGTACCCACTGTGGGAAGGAGCTGAGCCTCAGCTGAGCTGAGTGGATGGTCTGGGATGTATGGGCTCCATACGGAGCCATGGGGCTCCCTGCTGCAGGAGGGACCCCAACCATGCCACAGGGATGGTGTGGGATATGTGGGTTCCACACTGAGCCATGGTGACTGTACCTGCTGCAGGAAGAATCCCAGGCACACCGCGTGGATGGTGTGGGATGTATGGGCTCCACGCCGAGCGGTGCTGGATATATGGTGTAGGAGGTGTGAGCCCAGTCCTGAGCTACTCTGGCTGTATGACATGGGATGTTTGGGCTCCATTATGAGCCGTGGTGGCTGTACCCACTGCGGGAGGGGTCCCAGCCACGCTGCATGCATGGCATGGGATGTGTGGGCTCCACAGGGGGCACGTTGGCTGTGTGGTGCGGGAGACACGGGCTCTATACATGGGGTGTGTGGTGTGGGAGGTATGGACTCCACCCCACACACACGATGAGGGGCGCAGGGGCTCTGTACCATGCAGGAGGGTCGTGGTGCGGGACGTGCTCCGTCCTGTGCCCCGTGATGTGCAGGGCTGGAGGTGTCGGCTCCGGGCTGGACGTGTGGGCTCTATCTCACACACGTGCCGCGGGACATATGGGCTCTGTACGGTGTGAAGTGGCCCAAGGATGGATTCAGCAGGTCCAGGTGACCTCGCTGGAAGGTGCCCCAGCACCCCGCGGGTCCCCAGCCCCTCACCCCGGCCTCGGGGTGCTGCGGGGCAGTGCGGGGGGCGGCGGGTGGAGCGGGGCGGGGGCCGACAGCGGGTGCCGGGAGTTATCAGCGGGGCGCAGCCCGGTGCACCGGGCTGATGCAAGAGCCGCCGGCGGGGCTGGGGGGGCCGAGGGGACCCGGGACAGGCCGGTCTGGGGGGCCGGGGGCCGCCGGCCCCGGGGCCAGGCGGGGCAGGAAGGAGGAGGCCGGGTCCGGAGCCGGCCGTCGGTCCCGTGGCCCCGCCGCGGCTCCTGCGCCCCACCGGGGATCCCGTGGCCTCCCGCCGGGTGTCCAGGACCCCACCCTGGCTCCCGCCGCCCCCCGTCCGGGAGCGAGCTCCTGCATCACCCCGGTGAGATCTGGGGGGGCTGGTTCCCTCCGAAGCCCCCCTGCCCTGCCCTTGCCCCTGAGCCCCCCTGAGGGGTCCCTGGGCCGGGGTGGCGGGGGGACAGCAGAGGTCCTTGGTCCTCCCAAAATGCGGGGGACCCCACGAGGGTCTGGAAAAAGGGGTCTGGGAGTCTCGGGGCAGGACACCCCCTCCCAGAGGCTCTGGGCTGGGGGACAAGTGCAGGGTCATGGGGTGGGGGGGTTAAGGGGAATGGGGGGTCCGGACCCCCCGGGTCCCTCCGGGGCTACCCCGGGGGGGCAAAGGGGGGTGCAGTGCGGGGACAGGGCGCCCCCTGGCGGTTGTCCCCCGGCACAGCCCTGGGGCAGCTGCGGGAGGGGAATGGGGGGCACAGCCCGGGGGGGGGCAAAGTCGGGGCCAGGGGGGTGCAGGAACTGGGTGCTGAAGAGGATTTGGGTGCTGATGGGGGGGCGGCAGCAGGGGCCTCCTCAGCTGTGCACCCTGGGGGGCTCTGGGGTGCTCACACTGTCCTGTTTTGGGGTGTCCCGTGAGCCCAGCTGTGCCACAGTTTCCCTTTTTCCCCCCTGCACTGTGCCGCGGGGCTGGGGGGGGGACGGTTGCTGTGGGACCTGGGGACTGTGTGTGGGACCCCAGTCCCTGGGTGTGAGTCTATATGGGACCCCCACCCACGTGCAAGGGGTCATGTGGGACCCCAGTCCCTGGGTGTGGGTCTGTACAGGACCCGACCCCCGGGCACAGCGCATGGTGTGCACGGGCATGGGTGGGCCAGGGCAGGATGCCACGTCCCTGGTGGGAAGCTGCCGGGGCTCTGCCGTCGCCTGACGTTGGTTCCCATCCTGGATGGCGACAGGGCAGGGCACGACTTCCCCGGGGACCCCCAACCCCGGGACCTCCCAGCCCGTGGGGAGCAGTTTAGGCAGGCAGGGGCTGCGGGAACGGCCACGATGTTCAGCCCCAGCCCCACCCCAGGGGACAAACCCTGATCCCGGGGGGCACCGAGCGATGCCCCGGTCTCTGCTAACGTGTTCTCTCTGGTTTCCACCGCGGCCGCCCCGCAGAGAGCCGGGTTATGGTGGCACCGGGCTGAGCGCCGGGACGCAGCGAGGCGGCAGCGGGGGCCGAGCCCGGAGCCATGGAGGGGCCCGGCCAGGTAGGGACTCCCGGCCCCCCGCCCCGGCTCTGCTGCTGCGCCCCGGCACAGCCCCGGCGAGGCGTTGAGGGTACCAGACCCCGCTGACTCCCTTCTCTCTGTCCTACAGGAGGCCTACGAGGAGGGGATGAGGAGGACCCTCGACCCTGAGGGCTACGAGGATCCCGGCCTAAAGGACTCCCGCCTGTCGCTGGGGGAGATGAGCAGTGAGTGGCTCCTGGGGTGCTGGGGGCACTGGCACGGGGGGGCACCAGCGCTGCAAGGGGGGCCACTGCATGGGCACCGCTGTTGTACGGGTGCCAGCGCTGCATGGGCGTGGCATTGCACGGGCACTGGTGTGTCACACGGGCACTGGCGTCGCAGAGGTCACACCTCATTGTGTGGGTGACAGTGGCACTGCACAGGTGACAGCATTGCACGGGTAATGGCACCACACGGGCACCGGCACCAGCTGGGTGCCAGCACTGCAGGGGCACCAGTGGCTCGAGGTCGCGTGTTTGTATGGGCACCGGAATTCTGTGGGTCCCAGCTGGGCATGGGCACCAGCACTGCTCTGGTGTGTTGCACAGGCACCAGCACTGCATGGGCACAGGTGTTTCACAGGTGCCAGCGTTGCATGGGCACCTGTGGGGTATCAGCAGCATTGTTGCATGGGCATAGCATGGCACAGGCATGTTGTATGGGCACAGCATGGCACAGGCATGTTCCCTGGGTGCTAGCATGGCACAGGTGTGTTGTATGGGCACAGCATGGCACAGGCATGTTCCCTGGGTGCTAGCATGGCACAGGTGTGTTGTATGGCACAGCATAGCACAGGTGTGTTGTATGGGCACAGCATGGCACAGGCATGTTCCCTGAGTGCCAGCAGGGCACAGACGTGTTGCATGGGCACAACATTGCATGAGCAGAAGCACTGCATGGGCACAGCACGGCACAGACGTGTTGCACGGTTTCCTGGGTGCCAGCACGGCACCGACAGCGGGGCTCGCTCAGAGTGTGGGGTCAGGCAGGGACACCCACCCTCAGGGTGACATCCCCCAAAGGCAGCGACACCCTTTGCCAAAGCCCTGGAGCCGTGAGGTGCCACCTCCAGTGCCAGGGCTGTGGGTGCCTAAACTGGGTCTGTCCTTTGGGACACCCGAGGTCCTTGAGCCTCTGGGGAGGGAGGAGGTGAGGGGAGTTTGGGGGGTCTGCGTGCCCCGGAGCATCCCTTTGCCCCAAGCTCGGTTGTTCCAGAGCTGCCACCCCGCGGGGGTGTTTGGGCTCGGGTCCCCCGTTGGGGTGACACAGGTCGGGGGGTAACGCTGCCACCTGTTCTGCGCAGGGGCCGGCGCTGGCATCGGGTCCCCCCTGCGCGCGTGGAGGGCCAGAGCCGAGGAGCTGACGCCCCTGCGGTGAGTCCCCAAATCGCGGCGGGGGCGCCGGACGCTGCCCTGCCCGCCCGGCTGGCATCACCCGCGGGGAGGCCGGTGGCACCCGCGGTGCCCGGCGCTGACCCCCCCGTGCCGGCGGTGTGTGTTTTGCAGCCAGTATCTGCCCGGCCGCCGGGGATGTTATGACCTGCACGGGAAGAGGCGCGCGGCCGGGGCCCCCCCGGGACAGCCCCCCAGCCGGGGCGGAGGGCAGCGTGAGTGACCGCGGGGGCCCCGGGGGACGAAGCCCAGCCCCGGCGTCCCCCCTACCCCCAGCCCTCCATCGCGCTGCCTTGCCCCGGTTCTGCCACCCACCCCTGTCCCCACCCTGCGCGGGGTGACCGTCACCCGGGCGTAAGGGCACGAGTGACCGCTGCCACTTGCCCGTAATCGCCCACTGATTGAGGATAAATAAAGTCTTTGTTTGGGGTGAGGACAAGAACCACTTGGGGCCGAACGCCGGCTGGCGCCGGGCGGCTCGGTGGCGGCGGGCAGGGACGAGGACACGCTCGTGCCCGCGTGCCACGGCCAACGCTGACGGGGACACGGTGGCAAGGGCCGCGCCCCATCCCCGCTCCCGCGGGCACAGCATCCTTCCTCCGGCAGAGCGGGATGCGGCTCTTACGGCAGCATCCCCCCGCCGGGTGACCCGGCTGGGGACAGCGAGGGGACCGCGGTGGTCCCCGTCGAGGGCGGAGAGGGACGGGGTGAGCCTGTCCCCACGGTGGGGTGGCAGCGGCGGGCGGGAGCCGTGCTGGTGTTTACTGTCAGCAAAGGAAGTGTTGCTGGATTTACGGTGCACACAGGGCGGCTGCGGGGATCGCTCCCCACTTTATAGGGACAGAGCTGCGGGGACATGGGGAGCGCAGGGGGGCCCGCAGGTAGGCAGGGGACGGGGACAGGGATACCTCGAGCTCCTGGGGTCTGGCTGGCCGGGAATGTGCACGGGAATGGCCCCGTGTCCCCATCCCAGTGACGGTGCTCGGTGCTCGGTGCCGGTGTTGTGTCTGTGGCAGGGCGGTGGCCATGAACCCTGTCCTCACCCTGGCCCGGTGATGTCCCCAGACTGTCACCCTGCCCCAGGGGCTGGGCTGCGGGGATGTGAGGGGACCAAAGGCACCGTCAGGGTGGGGGGTAATGGAAGTTCTGGGATGGTGGGACACGTCCAGCGAGTCCCCAGCAGGGCTGGGGTGTGACAGAGAAGGGGACACATCCAGGTGACCCCAGCTGGGTCTGGGTTGAGGGTGATGGAGAAGGGGACACTTCCAGGTGACCCCAGATGGGTGTGGGATGGAGGTGGTGGGGGGAGGCACCTTCAACAGACCCCAGGGAGGGGGTCTGGGCTGGGACAGGGACCAGCTAACGTTTTGGTGGCTCCACTTGCAGCTGAGTCAGTGACCGATGTGGACCCGGAGGCGTCGGGGAGCAGGAGGCTCCTGTCCCAGAAGGACACCCATGAGGTGGGTGCTGTCCCAGGGACCCTCATTCCCTCCCCATTCCTGAGGGTGTGTGGACTGTGGTCACTTGGAGACCAACCTGGGAACACCAGGACATGGGGAGAGGAGACACTGGGTGTCCTGGGGGTCCCTGGTGTGGCCACCTGGGGGTACCCTGACCCCCCCTATCTCTGGCTGCAGGGCTACGTGGAGCTCCACGAGCTGGTCATGGACAGCTCGAAGGACTTGTGCTGGATGGAGGCCGGCCACTGGCTCCAGCTGGAGGAGGATTTCCAGGAATCGGGGCAGTGGAGCCAGCCCCATCTCTCCTTCCTGACCTACCGCAACCTCCTGGAGATCCGACGGGCTTTGAACAAAGGTGGGAACGCCCCTGGGGACCACCTGGAGGGCGGCAGGGACCCCACGCTGGCCAGGTGGTGACGGTGCTGTCCCCACAGGTGCCATTCTCCTCGATGTGGCAGCCAACTCAATGGCAGCCATCGTCAACGTCCTCATCGACCAGATGATCTATGAGGGGCAGTGGAAGCCACAGGACCGGGAGGACATCCTGAGGACACTGCTCCTGCGGCACAGGTATGGCAGGGCTGGTGCTCCCAGGGGGTCCCTGAGGTCTGGGCTGGACCCAGCACAGGTATGGCAGGGCTGGTGCTCCCAGGGGGCCCCCAGGGTCTGGGTTGGACCCACCCCAGCGCATCCCACTGGAGCCTGGATCAGGGTGGGAAAGCTTTGTCCTCCAGCCCTGTTTGGGTGTCCCAGCACACCCACAGGGATGAGGCTGCCTTATGGGCGTCTGAAGGGGGTTGATGGCACTGGGGGGTCTGACACCACCCCCCGATGCTCTCAGCCACCCCAGTGAGGGGGAGTCGGTGTGGACGCTGCCGCCGGCGCTGCTGCAGCGCTCGGGCACCCGCCGGGACGATGTGGAGCAGCCGCTGATGAGGGAACAGCAGCCCATGGAAATGAGCAAGCTGTCAGGGACTGAGCAGGTACTGGGGGCATGGAGGGGCACTGGGGGGCACTGGGACATGGGGCTGGGGATGGGAGATGTGCACAGGGTGCACACACACACACACACACACACACACAAGTGAACACACACCTTGGCACACGTAGGGGCACAGAGCAGTTGCACACTCAAACCTGCTTGTGCAGCACATGCAGAGGGGGACACACAGGGAATGGTGGGGGACACTTGGGGGACAGAGAGGGAGACTCAGGGAGTGGTGGGGGACAGGCAGGAGATGGAAGGGGACATTCAGAGGACAGAGGGAGAGACATGGGACAGAGGGGAACATGCAGGGGATAGTGGGTGACATGCAGGGGACAGAGAGAAACACACCAGAGGGGGGACGTGCAGGGGGCACAGAGGGCCACAGGGACAGCCACCAAGGCTGGCTGGCTAATTCCTACCGTCCATCTGCCTGCAATAGAGTGGGGCCTCCAAACCCCAACTCCAAGAGAAGATCCCCAAGGATGCTGAGGCCACCCTGGTCCTCGTGGGTGAGTGGTCAGTGGGGTGGTGGGTGCTGGCTTGGGTCAGGGGGATGGGTGCAGGCTGAGGGAGGTGGGTACAGGGTCAGGGGGTGCAGGGGGAGCTTTGCCATCTGCCCCTCGCTGTGCTCGCTCACGCCCTGCCTTTCTTGCACTGTTTTTGCCTCTCCCCATCCTCAGCTCTCGCCGCCGCCTGCTGCTGCTCAGCGCTGCTCTCTGGGTCCCTGTCCATGTCCCTTGTCCTCATGTTCCATCTCCCCATGTCTTCATGTCTCTAAGTCCCCCACGTCCCTGTGCCCCAAGGTCCCTGTACTCCCATGCCCACCTATCTGCGTGTCCCTGTGCTCCCGTGCCCTGATATCCCTGTACTCCCATGTCCATCTATCCCTGTGTCCCCATGTCCCTGTATCCCTGTGTCTTTGTGCCCCTATTCCATTCTCTTTGTCCCCCCACATCCCCAAGCCTGTATGTCACCTTGTCTCCATTCCCGATGTCCCCGTGTTCCGATGTCCTGCTGTCTCTCTGCTCCCCCGTCCCCATGTCCCTGTACCCCCGTGTCCCTGTCGTGTCTCTGTGCCCCCATGTCCTCATGTCCCTGTGCCTGGTCCCCCATGACCCCCGTCCCGTCCCGTCCTGCCCCCAGGCTGTGCAGCCTTCCTGGAGCAGCCAACGCTGGCCTTCGTGCGCCTGAAGGACGCGGTGACACTGGACGGTGTCCTGGACGTGTCCCTCCCCGTCCGCTTCCTCTTCGTGGTGCTGGGCCCCGACAGCCCCAACATCAGCTACCACGAGATCGGCCGTGCCATCGCCACCATGATGTCCGAGAGGGTACAGCTCACCCACCACTGCCACCCCACTGCCACCACCATCAGCCCCCCTGAGCACCCTGGAGTCCCCATCCCGAGGCTGCACCCTCTAACAGGGCTCACCCCCCTGTGCAATGTCTGTCTCTCATCCCTGTGTCCCCCTGCCACTGTGTCCCCTTGTCCCCATGAACTGGTGTCCCCATGTCCCTGAGGCCAAAGTGTCCCTTTGTCCCCATGTGTCCAAGCAAACACGTCCCCGTGCCCCCGTGCTCCCACACCCCTGTGCCCAAGCCCCTGCCCCCATCTCCCACCTTATCCCTATGTCCCCATGCCCCTGTGGTTCCATGCATCCTGTCCCCAATCCCTTATGCCCCCATGTCCCTCCTTATCCCCGTGTCCCCATGCCCTTGTGCCCCCATGTCCCCCCTTATCCCCATGCCCCCTATCCCAGATCCCCTGTGTCCCCATCTCCCTCCATATTCCCCTGTCTCCAAGCTCCTGTATCTTCCTATATCCCCTTATCCCCACGCCCCCTGTCCCTGAGCCTCTGTTCCCCCACCTCACACCTTATCTCCATGTCCCCATGCCCCTATGGTCCCATGCCTGTTGTCCCCAAGCCCCTGTGCCCCATGTGCCCCCTTATCCCCATGTCCCCAGGACACCCCAGCCCCACGGGGACGCTCAGGGGTGCCAGAGCCGGCTGACCACCCATCCCTGGGCGATCCCACAGGTGTTTCGCCGGGATGCCTACCTGGCCGAGGGCCGGCAGGACCTGGTGCAGGCGGTGGAGGAGTTCCTGGAGGCCAGCATTGTCCTGCCTCCCACCGAGACCCCCAACGAGCAGCTGCTCCGCGCCCTGGTCCCGCTGCAGCGCGAACTCCTCCGCCGCCGCTACCAACCCCCCGAGAAAACACCCAGCGAGGGCTTCCTGAAAGACCTGGGTATGGCAGGGACCACCCGGACCCCCCTCCGAAATCCCCTGTCCCCGTGGCGGGCGGGACACCCCCCTTGCACACGGGGTGCCCCCCTGACCACCCGGTGTGCCCCCAGGGCTGGACGCGCCGGCGCCGGAGGACGACGACCCCCTGCGCAGGACGGGGCGGCCCTTTGGGGGGCTGGTGCGGGACATCTGCCGCCGGTACCCCAAATATCTCAGCGACATCAAGGACGCCCTCAGCCCCCAGTGCCTGGCCGCTGTCATCTTCATCTACTTCGCAGCGCTGTCACCTGCTGTCACCTTCGGAGGCTTGCTGGGTAATGGAGGGACGGGCTGGGGACACGCCAGGGGACGGGGTTGTCCCCCCAGCTGGGCGGGGAGCAGGGGGCCTCCACCTCCTTTATCACCATCCCGTGGGGATGCTCCCAGGGGGTTATGCACCCCCTAATCCCGGTGCCGAGGGGTGTGGGATGGGGGGCACAGCGCTGTGTCCCCCACCCTGGCACTCACCGGCCCTGCTCCCTTTCAGGTGAGAAGACCAAGGGCATGATGGGGGTGTCGGAGCTGCTCATCTCCACCTGCGTGCAGTGTGTGCTCTTCAGCCTCCTCGGTGCCCAGCCCCTCCTTGTCATTGGATTCTCAGGACCCCTCCTCGTCTTCGAGGAAGCCTTCTATGGGGTGGGTACCCCCCGGTGCCTGTGGGTGCCCCCCACCCGCCTCTGGCAGTCCCCACAGCGGGCTTGGGGTCTCCCCACCAGCCCTGGGAGAGGCACAGGGAGCTGCTGTGGGGGGGTGGCACAGTGGGGGTAGCACAGCAGGGATGGCAGGGTGGGTGGCACAGGGAGGTGTCATGAGGGGATGTCCTGGGGGATGGCACAGGGGGAGTGCTGTATGTGGGATGGCACTGGTGGGATGGCACAGGGGTGATGGCATAGGATGATGGATGTCATGTGAGGGATGGCACAAGGAGGGTGTCCCACGCAGGATGGCACTGATGGGATGGCACTGGCGGGTGGCACGTACAGGATGGCACCGTGGGATGGCACATGGGGGATGTAGTGGGGGGGATGGCACATGTGGGATGGCACATGCAGGATGGCACTGGTGGGGTGGCACATGGATGATGTACAAGGGGGATGTCACCTGTGTGACAGCCCAGGGGTGACACCACACAGGTAGAGCCATCCAGGTGATGGCCCAGGGGTGCTGCCAGGTGGGTGATCCCATGAGGGTCCTGCCACACTGAGGTGCCCCCATCCCCGTCCTGGGGAAGGATGTGTGGGGCCACTGTGGGATGTCAAGGTCCAGCCCCCCTCGGTGCCCATGCTGGGGGGCTCTGAGGGGCTGACAGGGCTGTGCCCTCTGCCTCCCCAGTTCTGCAGCAGCAATGGCTTGGAATACATCGTGGGCCGGGTCTGGATTGGCTTCTGGATGATCCTGCTGGTGCTGGTGGTGGTGGCCTTCGAGGGCAGTTTCCTGGTGCGCTTCCTGTCCCGTTACACCCAGGAGATCTTCTCCTTCCTCATCTCCCTCATTTTCATCTTCGAGACCTTCTCCAAGCTGGTCACGGTGAGGGGCACGGGGGGTCCCACAGCGGGGAAGGCGGGAGGGGGACTGCAGGTTGTGGTTATCACCTGGGTTTCCATAGAAACAGTGGGATGGAGGTGAGGGACGGAGCCCATCTCCTGGTGTTTTCTCCCCTTTTCCAGGTGTTCCCCAGCTCATGAGGTCCCTTCCAACCCTAACTGTTCTGTGGTTCATGCATCTCTCCGCAGGGGGATTTTGGGGTAGGGAGGTGAACCCCACATAGATGTCCCACCTGGGCTGCACCAAACGTGGTCCTTGCCCAGCAACTGCCTGAAGAGCCCCAGTTCCTCCCCCCATCCCTGGCTCAGACCCCTCCAGGCTGCTTGGTTGCACTGGGATGGTGTCACCCTGTGCACTGGGTGCCCACAGGGACATCGCTGGTGCTGGGGAGGTGACAGGCAGGACACGTGGGTGTGTGTCATACCCAGGTGCCCCCGTGCACCCCACAACAAGCTCAACACTGCCCTGAACACCCCGGGTGACCCACAGTCTGCAGTGGGGACGCGCTTGTCTGACCCCACTGTGCCACTGGCCTTGTTTCTGAAGAACCACAGAGAAAACCAACCCTAAATATCCCCCCTGCTCAGCACGTGCCAGGCTCCAGCCTTGCCCGTCCCCCTGGCACACACCCTGCACCCACCAGGATGGTCCTGCAGGGCTCCCAGCATGGCAGGAGGGGTGCAGGGGGATCCCCCATCCCCATCCTCGCTCACTTCCTCCCCTTCCCTCCCCAGATTTTCAAGCAACACCCTCTGAAGCGGGAGTACAGCGTGAAGGCTGACTTTGACCCCTCGGAGCCGGAGCCCAACACGGCCCTGCTGTCCCTCATCCTCATGGCTGGCACCTTCTTCCTGGCCTTCTTCCTCCGCAAGTTCAAGAACAGCGCCTTCCTGCCGGGCAAGGTGAGCACAGGGAGGACACGGTGCTGTCCCCCCTCCCCACTGCAAAACAGGGGCTCAGGGGCTGAGACCGGGCAAACTCATTGCCTGTTCCTGCAGAGGACAGGGTGGGGGAGAACCCCTGGGCTGGGGGGTCACACGGAGGGTTTAATGTGGTCACCGTGTCCCCACAGGTCCGGCGCTTGATCGGGGACTTTGGGGTGCCCATTTCCATCTTCATCATGGCCCTGGCCGACTTCTTCATCAAGGACACGTACACACAGGTCCGTGAGGGCAGGGCTGGGGGGCGACAGGCACGGGGATGTGGGGCTGGGTGCTCATCCCTCTGTCCCACCCCCTCACTCCCCACTTTGCTCCCATCCAGAAACTGAGCGTCCCTAAAGGGCTGGAGGTCACCAACTCGACCGCCCGGGGCTGGTTCATCAACCCCATGGGGCTGCACGAAAAGTTCCCCATCTGGATGATGTTCGCCTCCGTGGTGCCCGCCCTCCTGGTCTTCATCCTCATCTTCCTCGAGACGCAGATCACCACGTGAGGATGGGGGATACGGGGAGGGGAGGGCTGCGGGGTGCCCGGTGGGACGGGCACGGAGGGGACCTCCCTGGGGTGCTGTGTCACCAACTCGTCCCCCGTGTCCCCGCAGCCTCATCGTCAGCAAGCCCGAGAGGAAGCTGGTGAAGGGCAGCGGCTTCCACCTGGACCTGCTGCTGATCGTGGCCATGGGGGGGCTGGCGGCCCTTTTCGGGATGCCCTGGCTCAGTGCCACCACCGTGCGCACCATCACCCACGCCAACGCCCTCACCGTCATGAGCAAGGCCTCCTCTCCCGGAGAGAAATCCCAGATCCTGGAGGTCAAGGAGCAGCGCATCAGCAGCTTGTTGGTGGCCGTGCTCATCGGTGAGCTGGGGAGGTGCCCCCCGCATGGCAGGTGAGGGTTGGAGGTCCCCCAGGAGCTCTCCCCAACCTCTCCTTCTCCACCGCAGGCGTCTCCATCCTCATGGAGCCCATCCTGAAGTACATCCCGCTGGCCGTGCTCTTCGGCATCTTCCTCTACATGGGGGTCACCTCCCTCTTTGGCATCCAGCTCTTCGACCGCATCCTGCTCCTGCTGATGCCCCCCAAGTACCACCCTGACGAGCCCTATGTCACCAGGGTGAGTGAGCCCTGTGTCACCTCCATGGGTGGCAGCGGGTCTGGGGGTGTCCTGTGCTGCAGCACCCCTGAAATCACTTGAGGCTCCCCAAAGAGCCTCCTCCTTCCGTGCTGACCTTCACTGGGCTCTTCAGGCCACTGGTCCTGCCCCCACCCCAGCACCCACCACCCCGGGAAGGGTATGGGATGCTGTCCCTGACCTCAGTCCTGGGCTTCTCGTCCCACAGGTGAAGACTTGGCGGATGCACCTCTTCACCTTCACCCAGATCATCGTCCTTGTGCTGCTGTGGGTGGTGAAGTCCACCCCGGCCTCGCTGGCACTGCCCTTCGTCCTCATCCTCACCGTGCCCCTGCGGCGCTTCCTGCTCCCCAAGATCTTCCGGGACATCGAGCTCAAATGTGTACGTAGCCCCAGCACATGCTGGGAGCCACCACTGTGCTGTCCCTGTCCCTGTGCTGGTTCTGGTGTCCATCCCCATCCCTGTCCCCATCCTCATCTCCATATGTATCCCCATCACTGTCTCCAGCCCCATCTTTGTGTCTGCTCATGTCCCCGTCCTCATCACCATCCCTGTCCCCATCCCCTTCCTCATTCTCATTCCTGTCTCCATCCTCATCTCCATCTGTGTTCCCATTTCCATCCCTGTCCCCAGC